TTATTATAAAGAATTTCTTCTTTATAGCTAATCTAAATCTATTCTCTCTTGACTCCACCTGGGGCGCCTACATTCAACATAGTCCTCTGCCTTTTGAGCTAGTGGGGAAACTGTCACCTGTAAGTTTGCCATCTCCCTTAAACTAGAAGAGATGGACAATATTCCAAATAGGTGTTAAAATATATATTTACCCTAGAGGAGTTGGGAGACGCAAGAATATTATGTTCCACTTCAGACTTTCTAGGAAATCATGCTATAGTTTGTCTTTCTAGTATAGACTTTTCTGTGAGATTTTTCTGTGCATATTCTGCTTCTCCCATGTCCATTCCTATTGGTTTTCTGATTTGATTTTGTCTTACCTTTTCAGTCCTGGTTGTCCCCTTTGGCTATCCCATCCCACACATATCCTTCTTGCCTGTCTCAATCTGTTTCTTCAGATCTCACAGCTCAGGTTCCTGTTCCTTTTCTTAATCCAAAACCCTTACTTGTTGTTCAGTCAGACCTTGTCTTTCAGCTCTTAGTCCTGATATCCATCCCCTGCCAGTTTAAATTCCCAGCTCTTCATAGTTTTCTTTCTATGACCTGTTCCCTTTTGTGTGGTATTTGGGACAAGTTCTCTCTTCATTTGACTTGGGCAGCTTCTTCCTTTTTGTGGCAGGGTATTGGAGAAGTCACTGAGAGCCTGGAGGGGATGACTGCCTTCCCAAATGCAGTCTGGTTTAGTCTGATAAACTCAGTTGTGTTTTACCTCCTGACATGTGAAGGTTTAAAAATTGGACCACTACTGCCAAGAAAACTAGCAATCAATGAACCTAAAGAGGCTTAGTTTTTGTCAGTATAATAAACAAAAGGGATCTGAAGAGTCATGTGGCTTAGATTTGTGTGGTAAGAAAATAGTTTTGTAAAAACTCAGTTGTATTAAAACCATATTGGGAAAGCCAAACCTCTTAATATAAATGTCTGAATATTTTAGAATTCTCTCCCAAGAATTTACTTAGTCCTTCAAATTTCTACTATCAGTGGAAACCCCTCAGGAAAATGACATTCTTATAACATCTTCAGTAGTGAGTATCCTTTATTTGCTACATTAAACATTTACAACCCAATGTCTAATCCCCCCAGTCCCCTGAGGTATGTCAGACTTGGAATGAGTTTTCCTGGCATTCACATCTACCTTAATGATCTGTCTCGAGGCTGTTTTGTTTGGGATTTGAGTGGGTTAATCACGGTGTTGAGATCACAAATTGAATCCTTTCATAACAATAAATGGGGAAGTTAATTGAATTTTATTTTTTCTTCATGGTGTCATATGCAGTATATCCAGGCTTCTTCCATTTGTATTCTCAGTGCTATTAAAGAGTTCACTAGCTTTAGGTATTCAGCATAATGAGCAGTTAATAGACAGAAGATTTCTTCTTTGTTTATAAATTCCATAGCTAATTTCATAAGGACTTAGGAAATCACTACTAATCCTGCAGCCAGTCAGAGTCTCATGCGTCCATGCTGCCGCACCTACCCCCCACCCTCCTCCTGCTGATACTCGATTTTGGTTAGTGTTGCTGGGAACGCAAAGCTTTCCACAGTACTGGTTCAGAATGCGAAGCAACTGTGTCTGCCTGTCCCCTCTCCTGGGGTTCTTGCACTGCTGCTCATCACTGCAGTGTTAGAGTCTGTATCCACAGCTCCCTGGACAAAATCCTTTTCACCATTCAGGGAGCACAAAGAAACTGGGAGCTGGATGCAAGGGGGCAGAAGAGAAGGCGCCTCAGGAGAAAAACATCTGGCACTTGAATGCTGTGGCTTGGCTCATGATCTGAGACTATCCCTGATTCTTGGCATATTCCCATAGAATCATAGAATCGTAGAATGTTTTGGGTTGGAAGGGACCCGTAGAGGTCATCTAGTCCAACCCCCCCGCAGGAGCAGGGACACCGCTAACTAGATCAGGCTGCTCAGAGCCCCGTCCAACCTGGCCTTGTCCATATGGATATGACCATATATTCACAGGAGGGGACAGTGTGTGTGTATATGGGAAAGTTGTTCTGCAGTGCCTGCACTCTTAATGTAAGACTTTGTCTTCCTATCTGTCACCTGGCATACCTAGCAATCCCCATGTCCCGCAGCACTGTTCTGCACCGTCCACGTCCTCATCCACACAGGGCTATTCAGAAAAGGTAGAAGTTCATTTATTCCTGAATGGAAGTTCCCCCAATGACATTGAATTCCATGTGTGTTAACTTTATGCCTTTAACCAATTCATCATAACTTACCTCATTTTGCCCCTATTGCACAGCATTGCCCTATATTTAGAAGGAGCAACAATCTCATAGTTGCAATCCCATTATCAATCATTAAGGAATTGGTTTTGTTTTCAAACAGCAGCTATTGTGAAGCGCTTTGAAAATCCTGGCTGCATGGTGTATTGTGCATACTTATTGTGCTTAATAATGGTAAATGTTCCCAGCCCTCATTTTTTTGCTGAAAGACAAATAATGGGTCTTGCAAAAAACCACACCACACAAAAAAAAACACCACAAAAAAACCATTGGCAAGCACACTTTAGAATATACTGTAGTGTTATCCAGTAATGACTTAAAAAGTTTTTCAAGTGAGTATGAACCATATGGAATGGAACCATTTGAGACCCACTTCGTGCACCTTATCCCTTAGGTAGCCATTGACCCATAAAGCCATAGCTTGTCCTAATTCAGGATTTCCAGGCAGCAAAAGTCACACGTCTCTCTTTAAGAAGAAGGTCACCCAGCCCAGAATTGTTCTGTGACCAGCAAGAATAGATGGGACATAATTTAATTAAACCTGTTCAGGTTGGAAAAGACCTTTAAGATCACCTTCTTCACTTGTGTAGATGAGGCCCATAAATGTCACTGCTAAACTATCTGTTGCATATTAATGTTTACTTTTCAGACATTTTGGTGGACTTCTTCAGAATTCCAAATGTTCATACGGTCCTTCTTCTTTGGGCTTTCAGGAATGGTGTTAGGTACGATTTCAGTTCTGTTTTACCTGTGTTGTTTTAGCAGGTCAAAACTCTGGTCCCCATTACATGCATCTACTCCTCCATGAAGGAAGGAATTCAATAGGAAAGAGACAAAATCGGTGATGACAGTTTATGAGCCAGTGGTGTAGCTCCCTAGTGCTCTGTAGCTATTGGAGGTGTAGTCTGCTGCAATTCACTTTTTAGTGTTATAAATGCATTTAACAAATGCTTCTTTCAGTAAGGGCTGTAGAGGGATCTGCTGAATTGAAACTAGATAGCCATTAAGTACTCTCTACAAAGAGCTTAAGGGTCTTCTGTCAGAGCAGGTTAAGCAATAATAAACACTAAGCAAAGAGAATCAGTCTGTAACACAGAGCGTCAGAGCACGTAAAACAAACCTCACGACTGACCCTCATTCTACTTGCTTGTCTCTCAGTCTCTGTTCTGTAAAGAAAAAATCTGGGAGGTCGCAGTGAGCACTGTTCCCTTCTGGCCTTTCTGAAAATGAGCAGGTGGATTGGCATCGTTATCAGATGTCAGCGTTGCTTCAGGAGAAGTGCGAGCTCCTCCCTTCTTCCGTACTCTTCCTGCCTATCCCTTCTTCATTTTCTTGTTTCTCCCTCCAGCTTTTATTCCCTGCTTCTGGTTTTCCTGGGTTCATAGCTGTTCTGCTGTTCAAACTGCTTCCCAAACACAATGCTGGCAGCACTGCTGATGTGTCCCCAAGAGCCCCGCGCTGGCCCCTGAGGCCTGTAATGACCTTGACTGCCGTAGGTGCTCCCCTATTCTCCTCCCTGAGACTACTCTGCTTCCCTTTGTGTCTGGGTGGGCCACAAAAACATAAGCCACGTTTCCCGTTACCTTTCAGCACTGTCTTATTCTCTGGTTGGAATGAAGAGCTCCCCCCATAGAGAAATATTTCTTCCTCTTAATCAAATTCTTTTAATCGGCAGGAGGGGCTGCAACACAGTTGTTTTTTCTATTTATCTCAGAACTGTCGCTGACTTTATGTTGCTTCTTGTTACCCAGTTACCGAAATTGTTTATGAGTTGATATTCTACTCTCCTTCTGGAATACTTCGTATGAGGATATAAATCTCTTTCCTGATGCTCCCCTACTTTTTTGGGCCATTGTTTGATTAAAGATCCTCCAGGGAGAAAAAAGAACTTAATTCAGTGATTCAGTTTTAGAAAATGAGGGACTCAAGAGTTTTCACTTGTTTCCTTTTTATTTAATGAGATCTTAGTAGGTAGCTCTCTTGGTACCTTCCTTGTGGGCTCACATACACTTTTTTTACTTTTGTTCTTTTTGTGGGTGTGTTTTGGGGTTTTTTTGGCTGCAAGAACAGAATGGTTGTGGAAACCTAAATCCCCTGTTATTAAAAATGCTGCCTGAAGCTGAGGGGAATTATTTCCAGTATTTTTATGAGTTCTCTTTTTTTTCCTCTGAGAAAATATGGAGATGCTGTGTCAATTTTTTGTGTAGATGGAATAATGTCTGTTTTGATTTGTAAGCAGCCTTACATCAAAACAACACGGTGCTGGACAGTTTTCTCTGAAACCAGGCTGTGACTTCACGCTGTGACTTTCATGACTTTAAATCATTTTTTGTAAACTTTTAAGAGTTCTGAAAGTCAAATATCACTCTCTTATTTCAATGTGTAATAGCACCTCCCTAAATTGTTCTGGGGTGTGTTCCTTTCTTTGCAGTTAATAATTGATGTTGACATCAGACAATGAAGTATACCATTTAACTGAATCTCTTTTAGCTTCTTCTGTATGAAAGACAGTTGAATACCAGAATCTTTTATAATTATCAATGGGTGAAACTCCTGATGAATAATATGTTTCTGCTTTTAAATGACTGTTAAGATTTAGATAGCAGAAGATTGTGAGGCCATTATTTTAAAAAAAAAAAAAAAAAAAAGAAGCATATTGCAAACCTTTTAAAGTTCAAGAGGCTTCAGTTAAAGGGTTTTTTTTTTTTGGTTTTGATTTTCCAGCCATTCCCCTAGGAATTATAGTGGTACGAGGAGATTGTGACTTGGAGACCTGTCGTATGTATATTGACCGTCTACAAGAGGTGAGGTTTTTGTGAATTCAAGTATCGTATAATAATCTGTATTATGCTTCTTTCAGCTCTGAGTGCAGAGGTCTAATAGTTGCAACAACCATGCGTTGCAGTTTGCCTACCACTGAAACCAAAACTTTAGAGTTAGGATATGATAATAAAAGCAGGAGTAGCACTAAAAATATTTTCTAAACGGGAAATGAAAAGTCATACCAATCCCTTTTAAATTATAACAGAAGTGACGTGGGTGGGTGTATTTGCTTCTCCTTGAATTGGAATGGAATTCCACAATTTGCCACATACCTTGCTGAAACTACACCAATTATCCATTAGAAAGTCTTATGTAAGGATAAACATTGTGGTATTTGAGCGGGTCTAACTATACAAACGTCTTTCTCTAATGCTGTCATGGAGTAATCTGAGACATCAGTAAACACTACAAATATCAGCTAGGTATTTCCAAATACACAGAAATATATGCTTATGCTGCTAATAACAATGTCGCTCTTGTTGTCTTGATCACCTTGCCTCGCGAGAGTTCATTCTACGATACAGTCTGGGAAATGAAGGATCCAAATGCCCCATTTCCTGAATAATTTTAAGCGTGTATGCATTTAGTGATAAAACTAATGGACTTTCATTAATATACTGTATTTGACTGGTTTTAATCTTTTACTGATATCTTTCAACAACATTTATAAGTGTGAGGATATTATGCAGGTTTCTGGATAGGTGGTCCAATTTATACAGGAGCTATGAACCTCATCACTCCCACTGAACTCTTCGGGAGCCACTGACTTCCCCATGGTTTTGAAACTCTGCACTTGCAGCTTGAATGTGGGCCTTAGTATCTGACTACAGGCTTTCACTTCTTTTGCATTTCAACCAGGATTACCTTCATCAAATGCATTTCTGAACATTCAGACCTGAGGTGTGGCTTTTATTATAAGACATAAGGCCATATTGTAAGGTGATGCATATTTGAGGTATTCGGTGATGGAAAATTACATTGAAATAATAGGGATGGTGTTCTCAGCAGGTTACTAATGTGATCTCAGACTGCGCTCAAACAACTTAATGTGGCCAGCATTGCGTGGAGAGTAGTTGTGCAGTCCTGGAGGAAGCACAGCTAGAAATTCTGGTTGAACTACCCATAGTGGTTGTGGAAGAACTGTGTTTCTCCAACCCTTTTCAGGGTTTGTACTGCTTATTTTTTGCTTAATTTGGCTCCGACCCATTTGCTGGTAATGGAAGTACCGAGGCTTTCTGCACTCTGCCAACTTGCATACCATCTGGGGAGCTATGGTCTGTAGGCCCGGCTTTTTGGTAGGCTTTGTCATGAGCTAAAACTATTTGACAAAATCTCTATTAAAATAAATTAGATTCCTGAACCCTGCTAAATACCAGGGTCATTCTGATATGACCTCCGTGACATGAGGTTGTCTTAAAACAAGGAGAACTGCCAGTGGTTTTCTTTAGTGCATTAATTACTCAGAAATATTTGCAAAAAAGATTTATGGATTTTAGCACCTTTTCTTTCATTTTACTGCTGATATTCTAAATGTAGGTAGTTGCCATGGAACAAACAGGTCTGTGACATAGTGAAGATCTGTTAACATAATCTGTATATTTTAAAACCTATTTTTTTCACCAGATGCATGCAAATCTAAACTTTAAGTGAGCTTTCCATGACTATTCTGTGTTGTTTATTTAATATACTTAAAACCAGTAAGAAATACTCACAAAATTATTTGTGTTTGCCCAACCACTTCAGATAGTAGAACCGCAAACGGCTCTTTTTACTTTAATTTTTGAAATCATTGGCATGTCTTTCATCCTCCTACTAGGACCTACAGTCGGTAACTTCAACTACGCAAAGAGTTCATTACCAGGTAAGATAAGCTTTCCTTATAGTATCAGAACAAGGGGAGGTTTAACAATGTGGACTGCACTCTTTGCCTTTGAACCCAGGTTTTCTTTTTGTTAGATACCCGTATGTTAGATGAATTTCTGATTATCATTTACCGTCAAATGTTGGAGGTTCATTTTGCTTTCCCTCAGACAATCCTTTTCCTTGCAAACCTTACGGAATCATCTTTAAAATTAGCACAGCATGATGATGTGAGTGGTACTGCAATAGCAGTGCCTTGGATATTGAAGTGAATGAGAGAATGTGTCCTGTAGGACAAATGATAAAAAATTGTTTCTCTCCCTGAGAAACTGAACAATAACATGTTGTATTGCATAGCTGTAGTACTAAACTCTATCACTGAGAAAAAAGGTGTGCTAGCAGGCCTGACCTCTTAATAATTCTGTGCACCACAGTCATCTACCTCTAGTTTAACATAATCTCCAGAGTAGTTTTTTAATCCATCCTGGGCGCAAATGTGTCTTTTGCATGTGACAAGCAGGTTCTAGTTTTAGGTGGCTACTTTTAAAAATTGGTCTCTTTGTGCGTTTTACAACTGTATTGTACAATTTATGCAATACAGAAGTTGGCTTCACAGTTGGAAGTATTTGTTCAAGAATGCGTATCTCTCTCACTAAAATAAGCACAGTGCTTAAATTAAGAGTAAACTGAGCCTACCGACTCCTGAGCTGATCTGACATTAGTGCAGAGACTTGACACAAACCATGGTCAGTTGGCCCAGCGCCTGGGATCACACGATAGGTTTGCATGGTATTGATAGCCTTTTCCTAGATTTAACAATGCAAATCTTGTTGGGGTCAGCAAGAACGAGTTCACTGAGAAAACATGCAGAGATCCAGCTGATGGAAACCCATTGTGGTGGAATTGCAGATAATTTCTTGGGGCTTCATGATTACCTGGGTGATACAGAATTCCAATTTGGCCAGCATGCCTGTAAATGCATTGAATGCAGGCAGACACTATGAGAAAATATAATTTGGCATGTTTTCCTGGAGTTGCCTCCTTCATACCAGTTCATGGTTTGTTTCAGCATTTCCCTGTCCAATTTTTAACCTCATATTTTTGACATTTGTATCACTCATTGCTCTGGAACTGAGTTTTAGAGCAGTGTTAGTGTCTAGTGAATTGGCTAATAAAACAGCATGTGTTGTTCTGTTCCACTCATTATAAATTAACCTAAGTGGCTGCTGACTGCTCCGTGCATAGGAAACCGCCCGAGGTAAATGAAGAACTAAGTCTGTATGTATGGAGAGGGCCAAAAGAGGGTATGAAATGTCAGAAATAAGCCCCATATTTGGCTCTACACTCTGCAGTTATAGCAGTATATAAATTAATTGCCTTGCCATCTCCTCTAGTGCACATCAGTGTGAAATCCCTAACACTCTATCAATTTTTTATGATGCTACATTTTGAATGCACACCCCTCTGTGTTTTGTCCTCAGTACTTGTTTATCCTGGATTCTTCAAATATTGGTTTATTCTCAGTGGGTCATTTCTACAAACTGTCTTGTTAGGTTAATTTGAGGTTTGTTCCATGTTGGTTGATATCCCTCTACATATTACAGAAAGGGGAAAAAGCAGGGGATAAAGGGCATGAATAAGGTGCTTGAGCTGACAGAACTGTCTTCTTACCTCACTAATAAGGTATCACAGGTACTTTTAGGTCTCGTAAATGCAGTTCTCTTGTGTGATTGCAGCTCAAAGTATGGGGAGTCAGCAGAAACATCATCAGCAAGCCCAGGTGCAAATGAGAAAAATTATGCTAGGGTTGTTTTTCATTCTGTTTTGTTTCTTTAATGAGGTTAATGCTTATAAAATATCATTCTCATGGTCCTGAAACTTCCCAGGTTAGTTCTGCAGTTGAACAGTAATGAAGTCTTGGAAAGAGCAGACCACAATATGCAATTTGTGACTTGAATTTACATTTACCAGCATTATCTCCTACCTTCATTTTCCCAGCATTATGTGCTCTGCTAAGTCTATGAATTCTTACTCATGTCTCCTCTTTGTATCATCTGCCTTTTTAGCATGCTCTGTTGTCTTCAGACATTTTCTTCCTTTTCTCCTTTGTATCCCAAACGTCACCTTTCTGCAAAACAGGGGGCTAAATATTAAGATACATAAAGCTTTGTGCATGTAGATAGAGAGACATTAGCAAACCTAGCGGATTTCAGAAAGCCCTTGACTCTCCCACGTACACCTCAGCTGCGATACAAGCAAACCTAAGCATCTCACAACTCCATAAGCCCACATTAGAGAAGGGCATAAGTGTATTTTAAAGATGATGCGTAAACCACTCAGATGTGTCATTTGGTCCCCATGTGCCAAAATAGCTCACTTTTTATGGAATGTTATGCTGTTGTTGCCTTCATCTCTCGTGTAATGCACAGAGGCTGGAGGCAAAACCTGTATATGAGAGCAAGGTTTACGGGATCAAGTAAAATCCTCGAGTCTAAATATGGGAGAGAATTGAGGCTGTTTTATTTTTATCAGGGTGGTTATAGATGCAGATATCATGCATCAGAAGATATATAGTTTTTTTCAATCAAGCAAAATCTGTAAGTTTCTGCAGTAATATTTCAGACAAGTTATGTTGCCAGGACTATAGCCAAACTCTAGGGCACTGAGGCGAGAACAGTTGGGATGTCTGGAAAGTCTTTGCTTTTCTGTCCTGGATAACCAGAAAGGAAAGTCTATAATAAATGGTTCCAGTCAATCCCAGAGGCAGAAGCTAATAAGACGAATCTTGCAAAAGCAGTCCTGATACCAAATGAATTAATAACGTTTTGTAGCAGCATCATGGCAGGTCCTGATATGCATTCACCTGGCATGACCTCATTTTTTCTCAGGTGGCTGAAGATGTCAGGGCTGCTTGAAAACAACATGTAGTGCATGCGGGCGTCCCGCCGACCGGGAAGCTGGGGAGCCAAGAACTTGTGCGTATCTGTACAACATCAGCATGACCTCATTTTTTCTCAGGTGGCTGAAGAAGTGTCAGATACCTTTATGTAAATCAAAAAGCAATGGCTGACTCTTAACTTATGAGGGCACTGATTGCTCTGTAATCAATTTGGAAATCGTTTTGCCCAGTCGGACTGAAATGACAACTTCCTTCATCATTCTTTGAGATTTTCCCCAGTTTGAAGAAAGCAAACTGCTTCTTCCCCATGGTCTTACTGACACATGCCCGGGCAGCTTGGGGAGTTGAACTGACGAAACTCCCATTTTTCTGTTGATATCTTCTTCATTTTTTTCTTAACTTTTTCTCACAGATGGCTACTTAGATAAATATTATTTGAGAAATACATTAGATTTGCAAAATAGTAAGATAAATCACTGAGAAACAACTGTTACTTCTAGGTTTTCTTAGTAATGTAAACACTGGGCAGTAAAAGCAGAGGAAATTATGTTAGAAACTGAACCTCTGAGAATCTGTATGAATATTCCAGATATGTGAGGCATGTTTGATATACCATAAACTTTCATTTTAACTCCGTGTTGGTGTTTCTGCACTTTTCCTCCTCTTGTATATGAAGCAACTTCACTTTCCTCCTTCAAGCTATGCACACATTGCCAGCTGTCTGAGGGAATGGTGGATTTTGTGTCACTTGGAGTCTCTCACTTAGGCTGGGTGCCTTTCTTAAAGGTCTGCTGTAGCTCAGGCTGGAGTGATGGATTTCTGTGTTGTGCTAGGGGTTATGTGTTCATAGCCCTGTTGTCCCTTCTGGCTGAAAACCCATGATTGAAATCTCTTTTTGGAACTCACTCTTTCAGCCAGCCTTTATTTTCTGGTATTGGACCTCTAAACTCCTGTTGGACCTGATATAGCTGTCCAGTTCCCAATATGAAAATCGTTTGTCTTGCATCCTGCTGTCAGGAAAGGTGCTGGGTTGTTGTGTGATACTCTGAGAAGTCCCAATGAGATATCACTGTATCCTGGTCTGTTTTCACTAATCGATGCCCATGTTATGAATATGTGTACATATACATTATTCACATTCTGTGCTTTCTGTGCAGAACAATACTTTTCTCAAAGGTACCTTTCTTCCCCATTGCTTCTACTTTTTCTTTTCTTGCCTTGGGATTTGGTACACCACTGTGTAGTATGATGTCTGAAGGAGGAGTAAAGTTTAATCTTGAGCTAGTCTGTGCCTGAATTTACATCATTTGCAGATGTGCTGATTTTACTGCTTAAGATGCAAATAAGGATAGAATCTGGCTCTATACAAATTTTGGGTGTGTACCCAAGATCCACGCTGTTGTGTTTTGTCCTGTGCAAATCTATTTGTGTTTAAACGTTGTGTCCTAGTAGCTTTAGGAAGTTGGCTGGCCATCCACTGGCAGCATGGAGCAGAGCCATGACCACCCTCTGCTTTCTGAGATCCCTTTTGCCTCTCCAGCTCAGTGAGGGCTGAAAAAGCAAGGAGCAGCCTGTTTGACTCCTTGGTGAGTACAGGTCAGGAAGGTCTTTGTTCCTCCCCAGCCATTTGGTTTGGTTCTTGAAATGACATCTGTCGGCTCCCAAGGAGCAGGCCTTTTTAGCCAGAATGGGAACACGTTGATGTAGGATGTCTGTTCGCTTGGCCAGCAGTGGTCCCCAGGTCTGCACTCTCTGTATGCTGGGTGCAGAGGATAACCCTTTTTTTTACCCTCATGTGCATTTGGGACATACCAGAGACAAGCAAAGTGGGAGAACGCTTTGAGCGGCAGATCGCTAGAGGCAAGGAAGGGGACAGGCACACAAGAAACAAACACAGTAATTAGAGTCCATGGTTGTTGTTTGATACTGGTGTGTATCTTTGACCTCTTTCACCTCTCTCTGTTCTTGTGTCCCCACAAATAAGGGGGGCTGCAGACAGCTGAGAAAGCTGGGTTTGATGCAAAGCTTTTTGGTATTGCTGAGCTGAAGGGAAGGGGATAGCTGAGGATGTGGCTGAAGCTAACTGTATCAGTTCACTCTTTTCTATATTACAGTCAAACCCTGATGTCAGTGAGAAGCAAATCCAGTGGGTTTGGGTTATGTAGGTTTCGCACATTGTGCAGTGTCAGTAGAGCAAAAAGAAAAAAGCAGAGACTAGAAAGTAGTCCTTTTTAGAGAAAAAAACAGTTCTTTTTTTTTTTTAATGTCATTTCCCTGCCCTATCCAGGACCAGGAAAGCTCTTTCCCCAGAGTACTTTCTGTTCAGAGGCTCTCTCCTAGATGGTGCTTCCTAGATGGTAAGTGTATCTCCCTTCTCTCGTGCCTAGCATGCTGCTTGCTTCTGGTGTGCATGTGAAGGATAGTGCATCCGAGAGTATTACTGCGGAGGGGAAGCTGTTCCTACTTGTTACCCTGAGCAGGGAAAAAAGGAGCTGAGTACCCCCCTTTCCCCTCTGAAAAATGAAACAGGCCCTTCATCTAGCAATCAAAATGTCTGCTGTAGCTTTCTCACCCCAAGGAGACACCTTCCTCTAAGGGTGATTAGACGTTTGGTGTATTAGTGTGTCCGCAGTGATGAGCAGGACTTACTGCATGGCATTGCCTGGAGCCAGAGTGCAGCTGGCTGTGGCAACACGCTGCTGCTGGTAAGGCTGTGTTCTTGGCTCTGGTTTCTCTTTAAGTACTGTAATGTTTAGGTGACGGAAATGTACCTTCCTTTCCCTGGGTTGTGGTTTAACCCAGCAGGCAGCTGAACACCATCCAGCCACTCGCTCACTCCCCACCTCCCCAGTAGGACGGGGGAGAGAATCAGAAAAAAAAGTAAAACCCATGGGTTGAGATAAAGACAGTTTAATAAAACAGCAGAGGAAAAGAACAATAATAATGGTAAGAGAATATACAGAATATACAAAAAAAGAGTGATGCACAATGCAATTGCTCACCACCCACTGACTGATGCCCAGCCCGTCCCCAAGCAGCAATCACTCCCTCTGGCCACCTCCCCCCCGTTTATATATTGAGTATGATGTCATATGGTATGGCATAGCCCTTTGGCCAGTTTGGGTCAGCTGTTCCAGCCCTCCCAGCTTCTTGTGCATCTGGCAGAGCATGGGAAGATAAAAAGTCCTTGTCTAGTCTAGGCACTGCATAGCAATAGCTAAACCATCAGGGTGTTATCAACATTCTTCTCATGCTAAATCCAAACCACAGCACTATGCCAGCTACTAGGAAGAAAATTAACTCTATCCCAGCTGAAACAAGGACACCCTGTAAGACTGCACTTCATGTAACTCCCTGGAGAAGTGGATTTGTACTTGACCCAGACTTTGTCAAAGCAGATGGCTTATCTGGGCTTTACATCAGGCTCCAGAGCACTGGAATTAGCAGCTAAAATGGTTGGCATCTGCTTTTGCAAAAGCTTCAGCATGAGGAGACTGAAATTTTTGTTGTTCTAAACAAAAAACAATTTCTCCTTGGCAATTTCTAATCACTCTTCTTTGTCATGAGGAAAATTGATAAAAACCATACTGAGAATCTGTTTGGTTTTTGGAGAAAGCTGGTGCGTTCAGTTTTTGTCTTTAGGGATTTGGTATTCCCCTGCAGTGCCAAAACCTACAATGCTACATCACTGTGCTCTTGTGTCAAAACTCCAGAATGAGCAAATCTGATTTCACTGGCCAAACTAAATGCAAAGCAGAAACAAAAAAAATTGCATCTGATGAAGCACATTGTAGGTGATAAAATAGTTCTGGGTTTAGTAATATAAATGATTTGGCAGTGACAAGATTCGTATTAGGTGGTTTATTTAGTGAATCTACCCTATTTACATGTGTTTTTCATGAGTAGCATAAATTTTCCTTGAGCATATTGGTAATTCAGAGTGAATATCTGTGGCCATGCATTTGATTTACAAAGAGCTCCCAAGCATGTTATTGTTCTTTAGATTCAAAATTTGAATTGATCCTATTGGAACCATCAATTTCATTATATTGCTTGCTATACTCTCATCAGCACAATTCAGCTATTTCTGTCACATATTTTAATGTAATCAATTTTTCTTTTAAGCCTGAAATCCATTTTGTACAATGTTTTTTTTTAGTATTTATTTTGAGTTAATGATTTCAATGAATATTGTTTTGTTAAGCCTCACCTTTAAATTCACTGTTTGATGGGATAGGAATATGGACATAATGAATGAATCCGATTATGTTTTTGTGAAACCGCTGTGACTTCACTGACATGGAGGTTGTCTTACGTGGTAGCGATGTTAGCTCAGCCCATCTTGTCCATACAGTTCTGCTCCGACCATTTTCTTCACTGCGGCTCTATTGTTTCTCTGTCTTGCAGCAACTTCTGCTGATCGTTTTTACCGCATTGACAGATCTCAGGTAAATCTTTATTCAGTTGCTGTTTCTGTAGGTTTTTTTTTTCTAAAGCTATGTCAAATGCAGCTTAAAATGATTTATCTGCCATTCCTCCAGTGTATTCTAAAATGCTACTGATGTCTCATGAAAAATAGAGAAAAAATTCTGGGCCATTTTTCAGTTGATGTAATTTACTTTGTTTCACTGAATTTTTATACCTGCTGACCATCTGCCCTTCTTTCTACTACCAATCTGATGTACAGGTCAGAATTTTCTACATTCGTCATCCTTATCAAGTCTTACTGAGGGCATCTGTGTGGCACCAGAGTATTTGAGTTTATCTTTTCACTGATGCTTTTAGTCACCAGAAGCCTTGATCCTGTGTGTGTGACATGAAATAGCTATGGGAATTACAGTGATGTTACAAGTTGAGGATTACAAACAGAACTGTATCAAATATTCCCAAGGAACCCCAAAACAGGGTGTAGCTCCATTAGATTTAAACCTGTAGTATAGATTTGACAATCTGAATGTATTTTTCTAAAAGACACTTTGAAAATTTTACAGAGCTTTTGATGCTTCTGGTTTGTAGCCAGAACAGGCCAATTAGCAACTCAGCATTAATTGCAAACTGTTGATGTCACACAGTGGTCATTTGTATCTGGTCCCCCCGAGAACCATGTAAGCTGTTTCTGAATCACATGAACATATGACTGTTTCCTAGCAAAAGCAGCTGGTGCTTTAGTTCAAGCAGAAGGAGCTGTGGCTTCAGTTCAGAGGTCCCACGTTCAGTGTCTGCATGTAGCCACCATGGGAATTCTTTGCACGCAGTCATATAAATGCTTTGATGAAGTTGTACTCTAACATTTGGAAAGCAAGGGTGAAGAAGATGCTGCTACACTGGGCGATGTGACTCTGTTTGGCTTATTCTGCATTCTTTTAATGCCTGACTCCGTACAAATGGCCATCTTTCCCCCCTACTCCTTTGCCCTGTGTTTCTGTAGGTAAAAGATCAGTCCTGTGTGATCATCCCAGCACACAAACGGTGGGAAGTTTCCTGCCCATTCACGTGCGTAGACAGGCCTACTCACACTCGGTGTTTTTTGAAGGACAATGAGCCTTCGGTGTCAGTAACAAAAAAGAAGGGCTGAGAAAGAGAACGTTGGTAAAAGAAATGTGAAACCAGAATGTACAAGCGATGGAGGTCTGGGAGAGTACCCCCAAACAATGAAAACTTCTGTCAGAGGGCAGACCTTAGCTGTTGGTCCTCATTTCGAAATGCAAACCTTGGCTTTTTGGGTAGACCTCCAGTTTTCGGCTGAATGACAGAGAGTCACTGAGGAGCAGCCTTTTAAGTGTTGCTGTGAGCGTGAAGCTTGCTGGTTGGGATTCTTGTTTGGCTTGAAAGCAACAAAGTATTTATTGGTGGCCTGAGTGGCGTTAGGTTTACTGTGTGTGTATGTGTGTGCATGTGTGTGCACTCAAATAAATACACAGAGCGAGCCCCATGAATGCTCTTCAGAGACCCTGATGTGCACCCAGCTTTCCTATAGCCAGCTGAGTGCTCTGAGAGACCAGCGATGCTGCAGGTTCATTATTTGTTCTTTGTATCACTCCAACAGGAACATTTGCACTTTGTGACGGAAATTTCGCAGGACGAGATTTTTATTCTGGACCCAGAGCAGAATGCCTGATCTGGTAGTGGAGCAGGCCTCTGGGTGAGTGATGCTGAGATCCGGCTTTCAGCAGCCGTATTAGAATTGGGCATCTCTTTTCTGGTCCCTTTTTCTGAAGGATTGGGAGATGTGGGAGGACAGATCTCAGGTGGGGTGCTGGGGACAGGATCAGATGCAGCCATGGTAATGACAGAAGGACAAGTGGGATAGTGTCTACTCCATTAGGCATCCTGGAGCACGCAGCAGGGCTAATGGACGTTGGCACCTTTCAACCTCCTTGCACCCCCTGATTGTATCTGCCCCACAGTAAAGCTGTATTGATCGAGTTACAAACCCCTGCTCTGCATGGTCAGGGCTCTGAAACCACTGTATAAGGCCCTGAAGCCTCTGTGCCTAAGAATGATGGCGAGGTGTCTCTGTTTCTTCTCATCCTCTGGGCAGACCATAAATGCTCCTATTCGTCTTTAGGAACAGTGTTGTACTCATAGTGAATTAAGCTATTTTATCTTGCTATGGGCTGAAAAATGCTGGGAACCAGTAAGCCTAAGACAGCTTCAGAGTGGAATGTGTGAGGTAATTTTTGAGGGGTGAATGCCATTCTCTTGCCTTCTTCCCTCCCTAGAATATCAGATCGGTGGAACCCTGCGGTTCGAAAGAGGATGCTGAGCGACAGTGGCCTCGGCAAGATTTCCCCACACTACGAGGTACCTGACAAACAAAAGGACGCCAGCCAGACACGTATGCTGCAGTAAGAGCCCTCTGCATTTCTCTGCTTGATGATGCACTGTCACCATCACTACAGACAACTCCTAGTGGCTCCTTTAAGCTTAATGAATTGTGCTGATGTGCTGAAACTACAGAAGTCCTTTTGCTTCTTCTCTTTTGCTCCTCCCTTCTGTTTCTCCCTCTTTCTCCATTATTATATGTTCTTGCCTTTGGTTTTTTTTCCTCTGTTGCACCCTGAACTCTTAATAATCCTAGATCCAAATTTCCAAAAGTAAATACATTATTTCAGATACCTGAAGTTCCAGCTAAGGGAACCTTCATGGCAGCTGGTTATGAGAAAGACCAAAGCACTCACCCTTAAGGTAGCTCTGATGCAATGTGACAAAGCAGAAACCTCTGCAATTGCTGCTTGCTTTCAAAGATGTAGGCAATAGTTTTCATATAATCTTGAACCAGAGATACTACTGTTGGTGTAGGATGACTAAACAGTGGGTTTCTTGCTGATATTTTCCCCTTGTAAGAGATTTCTACCACCACAATCCTTTTTGCCATGTTCAAACTTATATAAGAGCATCTCTTACTCTTCTTGCCTGTTTTGGAAGCGGTTCTCAGCTTTTTGGTCCTTTTGCTTTAGATTTTCAAAACCAGCAGTGGATCCATAATTGCTACCAAAGTTTAGATGGGAAGCACCTGTCTGAACTCTGTTCCTGGCTTTGAAAAATTATAGTGTTCTGGGGTTGTTTTTCACCCCCCAAGTACATAACGTATAATTGTGTATATCAATTCTGCTTTATATTTCTAGTTCTACTCTATCTGGGTCCCTATGGGTGGGCTTTAAAACTTAGTATAGAAAAATGAGAAATAGTGACCATGTGGTCCTCGTTTCAGTTTTTCTTTCTGTCTTGGACATGTGTGTGGAAGGGGGATGCCAGGTGCCTCCTGAGTACAGCTCCAGGGCAGATGCAGTATGGACGGGAGGCTGCATAGCCGTGTGGCTACAAACTGGAAGCTGCCGGCAGGGGAAGGAGATGTCATGGTAAGAAAGGGTGGCCTGGGTAGCACTGCCAGGAGACACTCACCTGGTTTTCTCCCATTACCCTGAGGGATTCTGGATCCAGTTCTTGGTTTTATGCTCTTTGCAATGTGAAGGATGGTGAATTCAGGTTCAGTTTTCCACAGACTGCAGTGGCAGGGCCCGAAATTTGGAGCTTGCAAAGCTAGGAGAAAAATGATGCTTAGACACTTCTAGGCAGTGTGGAGAGATGGTGACAACATGTGGACTAACTTCTAATTGGTAAGAGGAATTATTTTGTTTACCTCAGCATGAATGGAAGTGTTTGCTTAGCTGGAACAATTATGTTTGGTAGATTTATTAATTACAAGCAAAGTCAGTAGCACTGCCCAGAGTAAAGTGTACCTGTCGCTGCCTACTATAAGGAATTGTTTTCTTTGTAGCTTCTCTAAACTTTAATTGTTTTGCCTGAAATTTTTCATGGTAAGACTCAGTCTTTGACCAATTCTTTCTCTTTTTCTTTTAGTTAAAACTTTAATAAAAAAGCCAGTTGTTTCTGAAGACAAGATTTGTGGGAAATGTGCTGCTTTAAATTACCTTCTTTAAAATAAATAAATGCAGCAGTTGTTTCCTGAGATGTTTTAGTGCTTGTAGTGGTATGAGATTCATTGGAATGAAGTGTTGGAGGCTTGACATTTCATAAAGTCTCACCATAATACCAGGGAGATGCCTTTTGCTGTCTCAAGAGAAGTACCCCCGAGTTTGCCCTGTTGATGAGGTTGTTCACACACTTTGGAGACACCTCAGATTGATGAGCTTTGTTTTCAGAAGTTTCCATCTGCACATGCTCACAGAGGAATTATGTCCCTTGGTGCTTAATCCTGGTTGCAGGCCTGCCCACGGGCCTGAGGGAAGGGGGGCTGTGCTGCTCACCAGCTGATCTCCAGTAGCTCCCAGGAGAAAAGAGAAGCAGCACCCATGGTGAATGGAGATGGGTCCGGCAAAGGTAATGGAGGAAGAGGGAGAGGAGGTTGCAAGAGCCAAAGGAGCAGAAGCAAAAAGGGAATGCGTGCAGGAGCTCGGGGTGCCAGGTTAGGGGATGGGGGCTGGCAATTAGGAGCACAGGGGACATACAGATGTCTGGGAAATCAGAATGGGAGTAATGAACAGGAGGAGGACGTGGGGTGCAGATAGGCAAGAGGTGAGTGAGACAGGTTAGGGCCATGGGGGCACAGGGTCTGTGGCTGTTTCTATCCAGAATCTGGAGTTCTGGGCTGATGGAGATTATTTGTTATACCAGTGGGCAAGCTCTGAAGTATGTTTAGACACTGCCTCATTTGCTTCCAAGCTGGAAGGTGTATACTAAATGAGGCAGGGGATTGCAGTGGAGAAAGCAAGGTATTATTACAGTTAAGGCAGTTGAATGCTGCTCAGGAGGACCAGCTACTCCCCTCAGTTTCCCTGACAGAATTTCTGGATGATGCAGATTTACCATAAACTTTGCAAATGGCCAGTAACAACGGGCTCCTCATTCTATGCACGTCTGCTGTGAAGTAGGATGAGTTCCTAGGAGGCCATTACAAGGAGACTTTGAAAAAGAGTGAAGGGCTGGAAACAGAAATAGGCTTTTCTGTGTGCCTCAGGTCATATTACTGAAATTAATGGAAAGTTTGTGCCTGCCTTCCTTCTGACTCTCATTTGCCCAGTTGCAGAATACACATAATACTGCAACCTCACCTTAGAGGACCACAGTGAGGGTAAATTTCATGGTCACAAGAAACTTGGATACTATGGGGAGACTCCATCAGAGGTGCTTTGGAGAAAATTAATCATTTTACATTCTGTGCACAGTTTTGCTAGGGTGGAATAAATAACTCTTGAGGCTGTGCACTGCATGTACAGAATACAAAAGGGTATCAAGAGGCCTCTACTTAAACATTGAGGCAAGAGTCCAGTAGAAGAAAGTAGTGGGTGGCAATGTGTTTGCAGGTTGTCAAAATGCTTGAGTGCAACTGGGCTGGGGTATGATGCTCAGATGACACGAGCTCTGGCATTTCCAAGCTTGTGGGTGCTTGACTTAGCAACCTAAAAAATCTTTCTGACCTGGCACTTTGAAGAAAAACTTAGAAAGCACTATTATATTTTGGCAGCTGAAGTAGCTCACAGGTTCTTTACAGAGGTTTGTCCCTTTAGAAATTATTTTTCAAATAAAACTTGCAGAAAGGATTTTATCAAAATTCCCAAAAAGGAATATGGCAGAGCATAGAGGGGACAACTCCTCCTGTACACAGAGTTCTCATGGATCTTTTAAGAGTCATCAGTGGCCAGTGTTTTACATCTAGTCCGAAATACTGTACAGCTCTTCCAGCTCAAAGTGCAATATCCTACAGCCTGTCACTTAGGGCAAGTGACGGGGAACTTTGCTGTGAGAGAAAGTGCCAGCAGTTGACCCACTGGGGCTGTTTTCTCAATAGTAATTTTTCTCAGATGTCAGGAGCAAATTAGACCACAGCTGGTCATAGTATGGCTGCAGGCTGCTTAGAGTGTCTCTGGCATTGCTATACATACATATGTATGTGTGTGTGTATACGTATATATATATATAAAAGCTTTTAAAGTAATTATTTCTGAGAAGTGAGGATTGTAGCTAAAAAGACAAAGTATGCAAATAGAGAGATCCTTAAATTACTTCAATCAGTGAAAGTAGAGAATATGTGATCTAAAAATAATTACGATATTTGGTGTTGGTTTTGATCACAAGCTGTTGGGGGAGAGGGTAATTTCAATGTAACGTATTTTGAGGCAGGGGTCTTTCTGAGAGAAAATTATTTATGCTTTTGTTTTTAATTAAGTAAGCTTCATGTTAGTTAATTTTCAGGTGGCTTTTGATTGCTAGTATTTCATGTTTTGCTCCCTTTCTGATGGCTCTTTGATGTGTGACTGATGCATGGGGTGAGCAGGACATGAAACAGTGCCTTGATGCAGTAACCAGGAGCTGGGGCTGATCGTAGCTTAATAGGAACATGAAATTAGTGAACAGTGCACAAAAAAAAACAGGAAGATAATTATTGGAGTACTGGTGCTTGATCTTGAAAAAAGCCAAGTATTCTGGGCTGACTCCACTGAAACATGTAATTGGACTCTTCCTTTAAACATGAGTGTGTTCATCATCCTGATTTATCCTGTGATCAAATGGTGTAGTAAGACGGGGATCGTTATTCCCTCATGGTCTGCTGTAAGCATTCATTGTTGGCCAAGTATTTCTCCTCCTAGTTACATGTCTGTCACCCCGTTATGTGATGAGAGCTGGAAAATGAAATAAATTGAGAACCACAACAGCATCCAAGCGTGAAAAGGTGACTATACCTTGGTAGAGGTTTAATCTGCATCTTTTAATTGAAGTCATTAATTTTCCCATTGTTTGAGGCAGTAACACCCAGTCTTCTAGCATCTGCCCAGCTGTGGTAGCCATGTGTTTCCAAAGCTGCTAGACACATTGTATGAATTGAGTGCATGACTCGTGAAGGGTGGGCAAAGGTTGGCCAAAATGCCATCTGGTTCTGTCAGGGAAAGGAAGAAAAAAAGCCTGTAGGGGCTGGAAGGTGGCTGCAGCCCTTTACGCTAAATAGACATTAATTAGCTAGTAATATCACCCAGGCACTGCTTTATGAGGCAATCATAACCTAGTTAGGGAAGAAGGAAAAGGCTGAATGCCAAGCATTTTAACTCAACCACGGAGAATCAGATCATTGCCCAGGAAATCAGTGTGGTGGTACAGATGTTACAAGGTGGTTTATTGGCTGGGGTTTTTTCAAGAGGAATATTCGTGTGGTACAAGGTGAGAAGAGTATCAGGGATGCAAGTTTGAATGTAGAAAGGAGAAGGAATACTCATCTAGAAAGTTAAGAAAATATGAAGAGGTCACTCTTAGGATTTGAACATGCTCCCTAGCGATAGTGAAACTTCAAAATTTCAAAGGTTGGTAAAGACTTGAAAAAATCAAGTGTTTC